GTTAAAAAGGAAAGAGTCAGTATTACACAACAGTAGAGGAGAGACCTTGCTGCAGAGAATCTATATTCTGCTAGAGATTAAAACCCTCTTCCCCACTCTGTAATTCAGCTCTCACCATGCAAACACACCTGTGCCATGCTACAGTGACTCCCAAGGCATCATTGGAAGATTTGTGAGCACCTTATCTGTATTCCTAATCTCCCAGAGCTTCTCTTTATAATATGTTATATGAAAAACTTCTGTGGAATAAGCAATTCTGTGCTCATCCTTCCTGCTAAAACTTGTTGCACCTTCTGTATCATCAGACTGACCACAACTGCATGGCTATGCTATCTTATGAAGGGTCAAAGACTGGACATGAGTTTGCCCATTGACCTTTATACCACTGATTTTAAACACCCTATGTTTTTCAAAGTATGTCCCAAACTGAAGAATCCCATTCATAATCTGGAAAGCCAACGTTTCTAATCCGCATCATACAGTCAGAGGAACTGAGTCATCAGTTGTTTAAGGAACTTCCACTTTCCCAAAAGAGGAACTGTCATTTAGAGAACCTTCCTCTCAAATCCACTCAAACACATGAAGTTGACATGGGCTGAGCCCTGGTATTACTACCAAGAAGGGAAAGCACATATTTTATGCCAACCCTGTGCAAAGTCAACATTAAAGATACCTATGTTCATGGATGCTCCTTGAGATACTGCAAAGCAGCAATGTCTTGGCAATGTCAGGGCTGCAGTTCAAACATGAGATGGACGTTAAAGTTGACCTTACTGTCCATTTAACAAGAGAGCTCCAATTTGGCAGCCTGCTCAGAAAGGAAGGACTCCTGTGTGGCAGCCGTTTATGCAGCTCCCACATGTTTCTTCCACTCTAGGCAGACTAAATCCCTAAAGACAAGTAGAAAAGCAGTTTCTCCCACCACAAGCATAGAAAGAGGGCTTCTACATGAGACACCTGGACCTCCAGCCACCTGCCACAGAATTGCCAAGAGGCACATGCAGGGCCTCAGCAGTACTCTGGGTTTCAGGAACACAGGTGCAGACCCTCATTCCCTTCCACACCACCCAGGCTTAGCAATGAACTTCCTGTTCCCCCATTAATAAGCCTATGCCACGTGTTTTGTTTTGGTGGGGGGTTTTGTTTATCTGGGGGGAAGGGGGGAAGGATGGGGGTTGTGTGTTTGTTGTTTTGGGGGGGATCTTGAGGAGGGTTGGTCAGTTGTTTGGTGATGGCTTGGTTTGGGGTGTTTTTTTTAGTAGCTCACCTCATTTCACACTTGCCATTTCAGACTGAGGGTTGGGACCCTGTTGGCAAGAGCTGAATAAGTTCGTAAGAGTACATGCCTGACAAACAGGCCTCCCTTCTCTCATCCAAACAAACCAAGCTTAAGGCAATTCCCACCTTGCAGGCATCACACCCAAAGGACAACACAAATAGAAACAGCCTTGCAAGCAACAGCAAACATCCAGGATCGAAAGGAGTGTGACTTGGCTTTCTTCAGTAAAAGAAGTGTAACCTCCCCTGAGGTCAGATCCCACATGAACATGGGCTTATTATCAAGGAACTGAAAGAGGTGTTGAAGAAGCACCACCAGCCAAAAAAAAAACTCTCATAGCCCAAACCACACTTACACTTGGCTCTGTGCATCTACCTGTCCCTAGCTCTTTACCCAATCCCAACATTCCTATATGTCTAGAAGCACCACCAGCCTCCTGCCAGGCAGCTACCCCTTCCACGTTACACGTGCTCTTTGTTTCAGGAAATAAGCAGTGGGTTATTTACACGGTTGATTCATTTGGGTTTTTTGCCTGATGGTTTTGGAAATAACAGGCTTAGCTTGGCTTCTATCAAGTTCCACAAGAAACAAACCATGACACTAAGAAGGATCCTTGTACTTACTACATAGATTCAGAATTTTGCTCATGAGCTGTTCATACAGTGGCTATGGGGTGTCACACAACATCAGCATCAAGCTCCAGGATCATTTAAGCCTTGGATGAAGTTCTCCCCAAATCCTATGGTGTGTAAGTTAACATCACAGTAAGGCTTCCAGCTGGGAGAAATTTAATGGTACTGTTTTATACAGCACATCTCATTAACAATAAGTAATGCATTGGACAGAAGAAAAATATCTACCCTGTGTATACTGAGCTAACAAGGTCACACATTCAGATGTTAATATTTGTATAGTGTCATGCTGAGCTAGAAAACCTCCTGGAGAGTATTCTGTCCCTGCATTACACAGATTTGTAAGAAAGACAGCCAAAAGTTGAAGGACTCTATGTACAGCTTAGAGTCCAAACCAGAGTCTAATGAAGCTGTGAAAAGCTAGGATGTAAAAATAAGATAGCCAAATCAGGTAAAGAAATTAAGTACCCAGAAGTACTGGATCTGCAAGCCTAGGAAACAATAGAAAAATCTCTTTCAAGTTTGCCCTTCCCAAATGGGAACATCAGAATAAACAAGGTTACCTTTTTTCCTGCTTTTGAGTCCCTTCAGATCCATTTACATTTTATCCCCAGCCATATGCACAAAAAATGCCATCATCAGCCTAAGTTCTGACCTCTGATTTTGAGTGACTGATTCAGGAGTATTTGGAGTTTTACAGCAATCTTTTTGATACATGTGTCTAGACCCTTGCTTAAACTTCTTTAGAGTTTGTTTGGGTGCATGCTCAGAAGTCAAGGCACTCCTGCAGTCCTGCTCCTTAGTTGCAATCTGGAAAGGACATACTGACAGCACAGTGGTATTGCTTATTTAGCCATACCAATTATCCAAAGAGAGTGCTTCCAAGTGTAATGTTCTACAGGATAAAAAGGTTGGGGGAGCGGGGGGACAAAAAAAAATCCCCAAACCAACCAAAACCCAAACACTACAGCCAACTTTAAGCTATTCTCTGGAAAAAAAGAAAAATATTAAAAGTGGAGCCAGATCAGACCAGGCTGCATGCCTACTGCACCACTTAAACAAAAACCACTCTTGGGAGCAAGGCTCTGGGCAAGTTCCTGAAGAGATATCTCTATAGGAAATGCAAAAGAATAGACAATGCTACCTTCTAAAGCAAAGAGGATTTGAAGACCTATAAGCCAATATGTAAGAAAAAGCACCATTCTTATTACACTGTTGCCTCTTATATGGCAGAGTGATGGAAGTAACTCCCTATATGCAGGTGTTAGACGTGTCATACTGCCTTCTAACAGCAAAAGAGCAGGGAGTCAGCTGAGCTATAAGCACATAGCCAGAGCACCTGAGACTAATTGCTAGCTCACAGTTTTGTTATAGACTTTAACTACTAAACTTCCAAACACAGGTTATTTATGTGCTTAAGTCTATTACTTTAGTATCACTGTCGCTAAATTGCATGCACAATATATCTGAAACACTGGCTTGAAACCAGAAAGCAGGAGTAGAACTAGGTCCTACATCACTTCAGACCCTCCGGTAAGAGTATCTCAGCATTTCTCTTCCCAACTGTAAATCTTAAAATAAAATCAAATACAAGTACATGATAAATCAGTGACAAAATAGAAACTAAACCCAGTTCAAATGCCCTGACTGTATGGGACTTCTTGTCTTCTAAGTGTGCAGAACCCTACATTTTCCAGCAATTTGTCCAATTCACTTCTAAATATTTCCCAGAGGGAAAAATATTTAGTGGTCTATTAAGCATTAGTGTTGGGAAAACCAGTTAATATTTCCCCCTGGGGTTAATCTGGACTAAACACCATGAGAATTACATTTTGACTGAGTAATTCAGTTTCCTTTTACATGATTTCAAAGCACCCATCTCAGCTGAGGTCTCAGGCATCAGCTCCTCACGCATCTTTACCTGGCTTACTGTCTCTCCGTTGTACCTGCAAATACAGTCCAAAAGTTACTGAAGTCAACAGAAGAGGTAGTTTAACTTAAAATAAATCTTTTTTTTCTATTCTAAAGTTTTAGATTAGCAAAGGTAGTATGGATAAGTTTGCCATGACTCATAAATTTGAAGGATGCATTAGACAGCTATTAGAAAATGTCCTAGGCAGATTTTGATCACTTTTGGTAGCTGAGCATGAAGTATATTAGATTAGCCAAACTTGTTAAAAATAGCCTTAAAAGCCTCTAGTGACCAGGAACTCTATGACATTGCCAGATACTGGCACCACATCAATATCTTTACCACTAGAAGGTTTTCGTGTCTACCATGGCTCGCTCTTCTTAATTCAAGTGCTTTATTTCTCATCCTATCTACATTGCTATGGAGAAAAGTATCTTTCCCCCCTTTCTGCATAAGTCTTGCTTATATACTTTTAAAATGCTGTTGTACTTGCTTTCCAATGTAGTCAGCTTTTTTCCACTCCTTGTTTCGGGGTTATGCTTTCAAGATCTACAATTGTTCTCCCTGTTCTCCTTTGGCATCTCCTCATTGTCCACATATTCCCTGAAATGTACCCAATTGCAAACAGTGCTCCAGCTGTTTCCCCAGGACTTTGTAGAGTAAAGGAGTTATAGCTGACTCTCCTGACACTACATGAGTACTCCTGGTTCATAAATCTAATATTTGTTTATTCTCCTGCAGCTACATAGAAACTCCAGATATTATCTTCTGTTCCTCAAGATCTGGAGCAAGCAGATGAAGCTCTTCAAAACTACAGTAAGGGATGTTAAAAAGAATCACAATTTAAACAAGGGCTTAATTACAAGTCATGATTATCCTTTAAGGAAAAGAAAAAAGAAAACAAACAAAGAAACAAAAAACAAAAAAACAAAACAACAAAACCCCCAGAACAACCAACCAGCCACACTTCATCTTTTCATTAACTTATCTGTATTCTGTGTCAGGTCTGTTTTTAAGTACACTGAAGCCTGACAATACCATTGGAAGAGAAAAAGAAAAGAGCTATTCTCTGGAGGCACTATTATGAATAACATGTGTTCCTGGCTGTTTCCTCTGGGCCTATTTTATGAATCAGTCCCAAAAAGCAAACAAGTCATTCAACACTCTCACCACAGGGTCACTCATTGAGCACAGGTTTTTATTTTAGCACAACAGTAACAAACCTAAAAGTTCTAAGATACTCAAAATTTCAGCTTCACACTGGAACAGAGTGATGCTACTGAAACAGAGTTCTTTTCCATACTACAGAGGCAGCAGCATTGTTCTCTGCTTTGTACTGGAGTTGTTGACAGAGGAGCATCTCTCAGTAGTCATTACAGAGAATGAGAAGCCATTTGTTCTCCCCACACCAGCATAAAATTACTAGTCCCAGCATCTTTACAATGCTGATGAGGTACTACACAGGTCCTGCATCACACTAGCAGGACAAAGCAATGGTGAAACTGTTTTGTGCATTTTTCCTCTAGACCATTGCTGTGCACTTCACAACGGCAAGAGTCAAAACTGCTAATCAAAACAATCTGATGTGGGTTAAAATACAAAAGCCAGGGTATTAGGCAAAAAAATAAAAGAGGATTGTTTGCAAGTTCTCCAAGGCATTTATTTCCACCTTCCTCCACCACTTTGGTTCCGCAAACTTGTGAAGACATGCTGTTGCCTCACAGGTGGTCGTGCTCTTTCTTTACAGGCTTCAATCACCTTTGAGGTGGCTCATAATAGATTTTGAACAGGAAAGGCTAGTCCTGGACTACTGTTATTCAATAGAACAAGAAGATAAAGCAAAATAAACTTCATAATTTTTGGTTGCAATGCCCAGAATTATGATCTAGATTCATCTAATTGCACTTGGATTCAGAGAATTAGTTCCACCCATTGTAACAAATGGAACCAATTGCAAAATTTGGATGTGAGTCAGTATTTAGAATCCAATCCAACAGTCAACAGCAGGCTTTGTCACAACTGCTAACATTTAAAGAGTAAGGGAAGAAATAAATGAGTAAAGAGCTGATTTAGCATAAGAACTCTCAGAAATGCTGAAACCCTGCATACCAAGATACCTTCTGATCACTGGGAACAGAAGATTAGAAATAAAAAGTGGCATCAGCCAATATTTTAAACGTTTGATTAATAATTGAAGGTACTAGGAGGAACACTAAATAACAGTTCTTGCTCTTGGGTGAACCCCTTTCAGTATCCTGATTGGATTTATAACCTTGGAAATAATTAGGGAGAGCCAATACAAGACCTGAAAACCTTTGCGCAAGCAGTATGACCACCACTTATGCTTTGATATAATTTCATCTATTGCTGGTTCCAAAGACTCCCCTCACTCCGCACACTACCCCAAACGCCATTTCCATCTCCCAGCCCCATGAGGGCATGCTCACATAACCATGCTGTGCTTCCAAATACTACAAGTTAAAAGTTGGGATATTTTGCTTGCCAAATACACTCACAGGTTCTGGAAACTCCAGGTGAGTTGGTGCATTTCAACAAAGTCCACTTTATGCTTCTCCTCCAAACTATTTTCCAAGCTCACACCTACTGTGTAGGAGAAGCAGCAGTAGCCTACATAGGTGAGCACCATGTGCTGATTCAGTTTCCTCTAATAAATCAGACTGGTAACTCAAGGACAAGCAGCGCCATTGTGAGGAGAGGCACAAAGTTCTCACATTCTTCAAGCATGGCAGCAGAAGCCAGGAACGCCAACACGGGGACGGAGATGGACAGCCACATCCCCTCACCTCTTGTGCCCTCTTTGCAGAAGCAAGAATAATCCTATTTACCAAGCAGCATTCTAGGGTCATCATCGAGACTTGTTAAAGCCTGCACAGTATTCAAGACCTTTTAAAAGCACAGACTAAAGTTAGAATTTCAAGTCAGCCAGTTCAAACAGTAAACAGGACACTTAGTTTTAACAGGGAAAGGGTAATTGCTCTTTGGCACTGCTGATTGTATGAGATTCTCACTCCAAACAGGAGATCTTTCCACATGCCATGGTTCAGCTGAACCACCAGATACAAGCTGCCTGCAGGAGCAACTGGCTGCAAATCTCTGGCCTGTGCACATTAGTTAATGCCATCCTCCTGAACCCTGCTCTTTCTAGGCAAAGCTATTTTCAAACTAACCTTAAAATCTCTTCCACAGAGCCAGCAGCAGGAGAAAACCCCAGTTAGACTGGAGACTGCTGCTTCCCCCACTCACCAGCATTTCCAAGCATTCACAGAAGTAAGTTGGCAGAGAAACAGGAAAAGATGGAGATTTAAAGAATCTTGTAGACACATGACTTTAGCACTAGTTTCCATGCAGCTCAGGCAGCAGATGTTGACACTAGGAGGCTGCCCAATTCTGTTCCACCAGCCCCGTTTGTTACCTAGAAAAACAAGCTTGCTAAACCGACTATCTAGCTCCCCCAGCCCCTAGGCACAAGGGGAGGGTGGCTCCAAGTTGCTGAAGAGGCTTTTATAGTCAGAGAATGGAAGCTATGACCAGGATTTAGATGTCAAATCTCCAGAGAAAACTTTGGGTTCCTGTGAACTGGACTACAAAAACCATCAAGCCCTCCAAATTCAAGAAGGACCCTCATTTCTAGGCTTTGACAGTTTCAGCCTTCCTTAAGCCACAGTCACTTTCTCCCAGGGTGCTCCCACCCCAGTTCTATGTTTGGGAGTTTTGACCTGGTGAAGAGGCAAGTGCTTATGTCCTTGCTGCATGAGTTTTGAAGGACTGAGAGCCATGCAACATGTGTTGATCAAGTACAAATTCAAAGTGAATTTGTCTCGAGTGACAATAGCAATGCCAGAAGGAGGCTGGTGAAAACAAAACAATTACTGCGCCTACAGGAATACAGCAAGAAGATTAGCACCCAAAACTCTCTCAGCAGGCATCGCTTTGAAATGCTTTTGTCTTTTGAGGTTGCCCCCCACCTTTTTATTTTTTTAATGTGTTTAAATTCTAAATTAGGCAACGGCAGAGATCACCATCCACAACAAATTGTAAACAATCCCCCAAATTGAAGGTGTGCTAACAGGGATAAGCCATACTTCCAGACCTGAATCTGTCCTTAAACATGAATGGCTTGTAATCCTGCCTCAAGAGATAAGGCCAGGCTCGGGTCCCTCTTCCAAACATCTCTATTCCAGGCCAGTGAGTAACGCTGGGTGACAGTCAAAAGAGCTGGAGGGCATAATATCCCCTCCTTTTTCATATTAATCCTGCAAAAAATTAAAACACAAATGAAATAAACCATGGGACTCGTAAATCTATAAAATTCAGGGGGTAAAAAAGAAATTACTTGTAACCAAGGATTTTTGGACTGCTGAGAGTGATTTTCCATGCGTGTCTCATGCTTCCTGCATTGGCTGTATGGGCTGAACGAGGGGGAGATGGGGAAAAAACATGAAAACAACAAAACACCACTGCTTTCAAGAGCAAGGAAAGCTGCTCAGAACGGGAGGAATGAGATTCACCTGCGCCAGGAGAGGGCGCATTGACCAGCCGCAGCGGCAGCAGGAGCCCCCAGCCCTGCGAGCTCCCATCTGCCGGGAGCGGGAAGGACGGGGGGCCCTGGGCGCCTCCACCTGCGCTTCCCAGGGCGCTCCCTCATCGGTTCCTTCGTCCCTGTTTATCCCACACAGCTGGTCATTCATCTTCACTCAGACAGGGCTTTTTTTGCTCTGCTCTTCTGGCTCCATATTAACACCCGGCTGCCTTAGGTGACACCATGACCTACTTTTTTCTTTTTCCTCTTCTCCCAGAGAATAGCAAATCACTGCTTCAGTGTGGCTTGCAAGGAGGAAAAGCAAAATTAAGGAGTACTGGCAGAGCAAGCCAGAGCCCTTTTCAAAAATTCATGGCTGTTTGTGAGATGTCAGGCAAAGAGAGGCAAGACCAGCCCAGGCTCCCCAAACTGCACAGCTGAAAAGGAGAAGATAACAGGAAAACTAAGAGAAGGGTCTTGTGTTTTGAGTGCCTGAAATAACTCTACCAAAACTGAAGCAATTTCCCACCTGGCTCCCATAAAGCTTAAATCAGCTGATTTAGGACAAGGGTAAGAAAACAGTGGCAGTGACTCAGGCAAGGGAAGACTGTGGCTCAGGAGACACCAGCTCTTTTCCATCCTTCCCTGCAGACATGATCTAAGGAAAATATTTAGACTCAGAGCCTCCAAGATAATCAATTACATGCCTATATACCAGAAAAAGTCAATCAGCTTAACCCTAACCTTAGGGAAATCCAGCTATCTCCACCAGCTTCCAGTGTCAATTACAAATCTACTTTCCTTGAGGATGTGGTTTTTAGTCTCTATATGTCTAACCTCCCTGGTGTTTGAGAAGAGATATAATTTCTCTAATTCTGCAAGGTACTCTGTGCAGCAGACTGCTAGGCATGCCTAATAACTTAGCAAAGGGGTACCTAAAAGAGTAAGTTGGAAATGTCTATGTTCTATGAGGCCAAATAATCTTTCAAGGATTTTTGATTCTCTCAGACATCCAGACTTTTTTAGTTCTTGAGCTTTCAAAAGCTTATCTAACATGGTTTGAAAGGTATATTACTCTGACTTAACATGCCTTTTCTTGAAATACACAGATGGTTATCCTTGATAGCAAGCTCAGAGCATAACTGCAGCAAGACAAGCAGTATTTGTCAGTACTCCAGCAAGACTGAAGTCAAGCTATTTCTAGGCTGATATTTACTTTCTTCATTGCTGGAGAGCTTGCAGGACAAACAAAGTGTATTCCCTTGCTTGCAGGTCAGGTCCAAAAGGGTCCTCATGATTTTTGCCCTTTCATTTCAGGATCTGGTTTGTAATGGAACCAATGGTTTGAGGTGTCCTGGGTTCAGCAGTAGCAGTCCTGTTTCTCCTTCGTGGTAGCTGGTGCAGTGCTGTGTTTTGACTTCCAGCCTGGGAACAGTGCTGGTGATACCGATGTTTTCGGTTGTTGCTAAGTGATGTTTACCCTGACCAAGGACTTTGTGAGCCTCATGCTCTGCCAGGGAGGAGGGGAACCCGTGAGGAAGCAGAGACGGGGCGCCTGACCCAGGCTAGCCAAAGAGGTATTCCATACCACAGCACGTCATGCCCAGGGTGTAACTGGGAGTTAGCCGGAAGGGGTGGTAGACTGCGGGGTTGGAGGAGGGATGGGTTGGTGCTTGGTTGGGCTGGGGGGGCAAGTTATCGGTTGGCTGGTGGTGGGGTGATGTATTCTCTTCCCTTGTTATTTCCTTTATCATTGTTATTATTGGTGGTAGCAGTAGTGATTTGTGTTATACCTTAGTTACTAAACTGTTCTTACCTCAACCCGTGGGAGTTGCATTCTTTTCGATTCTCCTCTCCGTCCCTTCAGGAGTAGGGGGAGGGAAAGAAGGGGGGGAGTGGGTGAACAAGTTACCTGACTGGGTTTAAACCACGACAGTTCTTTTTGGAGAATACAATACCACCGGCCAAGAAACGAGTCTCACCCAGAAGCCCGTGTCATTCCGGATAAATTGTGGGGGTGGTGTAGCTGCTGTGCTTGGAGCTGGGGTAACCGCACTGTCTGTTGCAGTCGAAGTTTGAACAGCTGCTGTACTTGCCACTGGGGTAGCTGCGCTGTTCATTGCAGCCGAAGTTTGAGTAGCGACTGTACTTGTCACCCCCCCCAGCCTGACCAAGCACCAACCCATCCCTCCTCCAACCCTGCAGTCTACCAGCCCATCCGGCTAACTCCCAGTTACACCCTGGGCATGACGTGCTGTGGTATGGAATACTTCTTTGGCTAGCCTGGGTCAGGCGTCCCGTCTCTGCTTCCTCACAGGTTCCCCTCCTCCCTGGCAGAGCATGAGGCTCACAAAGTCCTTGGTCAGGGTAAACATCACTTAGCAACAACCGAAAACATCGGTATCACCAGCACTGTTCCCAGGCTGGAGGTAAAAACACAGCACTGCACCAGCTGCCACAAAGGAGAAACACGACTGCTACTGCTGAACCCAGGACAGCGGGAATGGCATGAATCCTGGCAGCAGCTGGGTAGCATTCATGTGCATTGGGATAATGCTCACTGGGTCTCAGTAGCAGAAGTGCAACCCTGCACTAGGTTGTGAATGTCTGACCTAAGGAGTAACTCCCACCACCTGCAGCAGCTGCAGGCTTTTGTATCTTCACTCTCAGCACTTTAGTTATTACCGTGCCTGCTGGTAGGGAGGAGCAGAAGAGCTCCAAGGTGTACCACTAGGTTTAAGCTCTTATAGCCAGAGTTTAGGACCTGCTCCAGCTGGGTATACTCTGAAAGTCACTGCCACTGTATTTACCTTCCACTGCTGCAGAAGGGCTGAGCTACATCACTGCCATTCAGAAAAAAAAGCATCTTTTTTTCATTCAGAGCCAAGTATCCCCCTAGTGACTATTCTTGCTGAACATGCCAGTAGCTGGGGCAAGACGTGCTGAAAGTCCAACATGTCCCACCTCACTTCAGTACAACACAGCACCAAGACCTCATCCGTCTATGTCCCAGACACACCACTTACCCTGTGCTGTGCTCAGCTGCACTGACACACAGGGCTGGAGCACATGCTGCAGCTGGTTGTGTTTGAGTACCCAGACTCTCCTGGAGACCCAGCTGCAGACTGTAGCCCCTCTTTATCACATAATACCCATGTTTTTCTCATATATGACCCTGAATGGCTCTCATGAGAAAAAAAAATAATTAGAAAGTCAATACAGGATGCATTTGTGAATAGAAAACAGGCTCCAGGGCACAATGTCACTGCTGCTCCCAGCAGCTCCTAAAAATGCATCGCAAAAAAAAAACTCCACATGAAACTGCCTGAGTACAGAAGACATTGTTCTCTTCTGCACATCTTTTCTTCCAGACCCCTCCTGGAACCCAGCTGCTCTACTGAACCCCTAGCCAGGGACATGGCACAGCAGCCCAGCACAAGCTGCTCTCAGTTTTCCACTGCAATTAGCATAGGTGTTGTTTATACTATTTTAGAGTGACCTAGCTCATCTGGGAAAAGCCCTTGTCTCCAATTCACTCAGAAAGACATAGTAGTTGCTTCTCTGCTCTTGGCATGAAGTGACCTTGAACATGGTTGGGATGGATGAGTCCAGGATAAATGAGAATCACTACCACCTAGGCACTGAGTATGCATAGGCTTACCACTAAAGAGCTGGAATCCTCCCCCAGAGTCCACATATAAGTCTCAGTGGCCACGTCAAAGGCTCAAGGAGATGCTTTCAAAAAAAGCCACAGATTCCCCAGAGATTGCCCAAAACTTGTAGATGGAAATGTAAAACGATCTTCTGTCAACTGACCTACATGTAAAGAATAAACACTCAAGAGACAATCGGCAGGATCAAGGCACTCTGCACACTCTCAGCCCAAACACGTGCTCTTTGCTTTAAAGATATGCAGCCAGCATGCCCCAGGAGCTCCTTGCATCTTCAGACATATGTTAACATGCCTAGAGCATATCTACACAAGCATCTAAATTCAGATAAACAGAGTGCTTTAGAAGTAGATCTCCCAGTTGTTCCCATTTGCTGCATTTTGTTTCACATCACAGAGTGATCCTGACGATCAACTAGACTGGAAGAGGCAGAGCACACCAAATGCACTCCAATCACCAACATCCAATCCTAAATGCTGGTCCTCCAAAGCAGAGCTAATCTAAAGTGAAACCCCGCTGGAAATGCAGATAGCACTGATGTTATATACTCACCCCCATCTGACCTATTCCACAGAGTGCCTCCAGTTCACAGCTCAGTGACACCCTCAGTGCCACTCCAGCTACACTTTGCTTCCACCCATCTGACAGCTTTCACCTGTTTCTTTTGCCTGGTGCTTAGATGATCATCCTCAGAGACAATCCCTTAGCTTTTATTGCATGCAGTTGCAACAGCTATTCAGATAGGGCCCTTAGCTCTCTCTGCCTGAAATGTCTGAATAAAATGAAATTAATTCATTGCAGTTTTTACTGCTTCCAAACTTGCTTGCTGCAGATGTTTCCCCCACTTCACCAGGAACCATTATACTCCAGTCTCAGTTGCACAAACCATTAACCCATTATGAATGGGCAATATTGGCCTATTTTGAATAGGTGGTTCTAGCTCCTCTGCCACAATAAACAATAGCAGCAAAGCTGCTTGGCACTAGCCACCTTCTGAGGGGCTATTCATATTCTGGTGTTTGTGCACACTGCATGGTTTACAACAGTGATTTTGCATTGTTTATTTTCTGTTCCTCTGCAGACAGTGGCATTGTTAAACAGCATGTGTCCAAGAGAATCCACCCTTTTCATGGGATCCCCTCCCAGCTATTACAGCACTTCCCAGAAACCTACTGAGCTATGGAATAAACAAGTCTCAATGGGGGGAACTGAGCCCACACCCGAGAAGTAGAGTGCCATGAAGCCTCCATAGCAATGAAAGTAACTTGGCCTTGCATGAAACCTTCCTTTTGCCTAATGAAAACCCTGTGTTGTCACCCTTCTTAATGAGGCTTTCTTGTCCCTTGCAGGCAAAAGATGGAATAATGGACTTCCCCCTGACTTGTTCCAGTTGTGGTATGGGCCATGAAGGAAGATGTTTTCCTCCTTCTGACCTATGAGCTTGGGCAGCCAAAGCGTTTCACCTTGGACAGTTTCAACCTCCAGCGCAGATGAGCTAGCAGGGGCAGGAGGAAAGGCAGGATTCCTCCCAGCACTGAGAAGCCTCCATGTGCTCAGTTGATTTGTTTTTCCTCACCCATGCAAAGTTAGATGAATTGCCAGATTTGGGGGCAGGAAGGAATCTCCTCCTAACTCAGATTGCAGCAACCATTATGTAAATGACTTGTTTGTCTTTTTTTCCTTTTACCCCCTGCAGTCTGGGGTCTGGTACATCCTCAGTGTCATCCAGCCATTCTCTCCTGGCAAATACCCTCACAGCAGCACTGGGAAGCCTTTGCTGGCATTCTGCCCTGCATACATACACTCATCTTTTGTCATGGGATACAGAGAGATGCTCTGCAACATTTTATATTAGCAAAAGCCAGGAAGACCCTGCTGGTCTAAATATCCCATATGCAGTAAATCAAGATTACAGCAACTTTGATTCATTGATTCAGGCAGTGCATCTCATACTCACATTTCTAGTTTGTTTTTTTCTGTCTGGCAACAGATGTCCAACACTTCCACTGCACAAGCAAATCACTAGCAGTTAACGTGCAGGCTCTTTTTAGGACCTGTAGCTGGAAAACCACCTCTCTTCTGGGCCAGAACAGGTCTAGGCTGACAAGCAGTATCAATAATTATTCTCCCTATGGCATGACAGGCCAGTACTCTCAAGCCTTTGAACAGGAGGAGAAACACTCAGTCCTACTATCTGACCTTAGATTTGCTCTATTTTTATCAGCTTTGAGCTACACTTACCCATCTATCTGGGTCTTTCAACATTGCCATGTTACAAGACATGCTCATTTCTCTCCTTTTCATAATTAATTCCCACTACAGCCTAGCTCACATGCACAGTCAAAGCAGAAGCCCTTCAGAAGCACTAAACCCAATACTAGGTTGCATAAACATGATAGTTCCCATATGTCCTTATGAACACCATGCCAAACTGTATTTGTACTGTATTTACATTGTGTTAACATCTACCAAATTACCAAGCCAGCAGGAGAACATACACCCATTAACAATTCTAAACAAGGCTTATAGTCTGGGTGAGCATTTAACTTTTTTTTTTTTTAAAGAGGAACACATATGAGAAAAAAAAAAAAAAAAGAAAATCTTAGCATAATCTTGGCCTGCAGTTTCATGTTACTTGCCAGAACTAGAACATCTGCATCCTGTGGTATTAGACAACTTGGGGACTTTGTTAATTCAGAGGCAGCTTGAGTCTCAGATGGGATTACCCCCGGGAAAGCTTCCTGTTCTTCTGACATTCACATGGTTCAAAAGAAAAGAATTTAAGCTACCATGACTAAATTCTCTCTCTCCTTTACACTTGAGCTTATTTTCAAGTGTACAGTTCTCCAAAACATGGAACCAGGTCCATTAATACAAGTTGAGGATCTGAAACTATGCTCTGGAAAGTTCCTTTCCTATCCAGGGATATTTCCTGGCCAGCAGCCTTCTGATTTTCCTTGGCCTGGGCTTTCTTTATATTTAGTAGCTGACCAATCTTAAAGTTTGTAAAAAGAGACCCTCACTAGTTTTTCAGCTGAGAACCAAACCTGCAATTCTCTCTCTGTGGAGACATAGGAAGCCAGAAGTGCCAAATAGGTCACAGCAATGATCTTTTAAACATGTCCCTCCCTAAAAGCAGCAGAAGCGAGGAAAAGTAAGTTTTAGACCTTCTGCCCAGGGTCGTGAAGCCTCTTCCTGTAGATTGGCTTTTTAGGCACAAAGCTGTGATTTTTCCTTTTAATCCGTTCAGGCAATAGTTCTCATTACTCATAGCTGTACACAGTAATCAGTAAGATTCATCGTAAGACCTCTGAGAGATCTATCCAATACTACAGCAAACCAAAACACCTAGCCCAGATTTCAAGCAGAGGCCAAAGTCAGGATACAGTAAGTTATCTGTCCTTTATCCTACTGTGCTGTAGGTTCAGGGGAATTATGGTTGCCCCTTCCAGTATAGAGACGTTCAGTTGGATTTGAGCAGCAAAGTGCATCAGTGCCCAACTAGTCAGAGCTGAAAACTAGAGACCATAATGAGGAGCAAACCAGAGCCAGACCAGAAGCTGGGGACAAGGAATTCAGTGGGTCACCCTAGACCTTGTTGCACAGACAGCTTGCATAATCTCAGGGCACTGGTATACAAGAGGGCTTCACCATGGAAGCATTCAGTCAGGCTTTGATCAGAGACAATATTTCTTGCTGTTTACTCGTCAGTTATCACACCCTCCAGCTCACTGGACACGACAGCTTTCAGTCTGCTCTCTTCGGCTTGATCTCAATGGACAGGCAGAAGAGATAAAAGACCTTCTAAAGCGTTGCTCAGCTGTCCACTAAGCCTGTAACATGAGGGTGAATGAGTGGCCATATGCCTTGATTCCTGATGCACTGACTCTGTGTCATTGTGGACACATGAAAGTACAAATTCCAATTAATTTGCCATAGTTACGGCTATTATAGAAGGCAGAACACAGCGATGTTTAGAATTCATCATATATACCTTATGACTTTCTGCTTAATCTTCACGTTTGAAACATATCAGATCTAGAACAAAAGGAATACAGATCCCTATTTTCAGGCCAACAGAATTAGTGGAGGTGATTTTCAGATACTTAAGTTTTGAGCTACACATGCATTTGGTAGACAATGCAAGTGAAAAGCTTTGTAGTTAGGAACTTGGGCATAAAACCCCAGGGAGTTTCTGGTGGTCACATCGAACTCTCCAGGCAGCCATATTTTACACATTTTGGAACATCTCTTCAGGCAAGTTCATGATCTTGGATTTCAAACAGGATTTTGTGATGGTGATACCAATACGCTCTAACTTTGCTCTTGTAGAAGCATGCACTGACTATGAAGGGTGAACTGAGGCTCTGGTTCAAGAAAGGATCTTGTGCATGAAGAAGGATTTAAACATGCCTTCAGTGTTGAAAAAAAAACAAACAAAACCCAACAAAAAAAAGCACCAAACAAACTATTTTGCCAGGAAACCTAATCTGCATCAAAACCTGTGGTTGTTTCATGCTACATCAGGGTTGAACTGAAAAACAATATAAGAAGTTGCCCTTCACTTACCCCAGCACCCTTCTTCCCTGTTTCTGAGGAAATCAGAAACTGATAGAAAAGGATTGCTACAGGAGGAGCCAGTAGGACACACACATCCTGACAGCCCCTGCCATGCAGGATGGACCAGCTGCATTTCCAAACCAATTCACCCAGTCTGCAAGGGAGGAAGCAAGGAACAAGAATTTGCCTGTGGTCCACAACTTATTTATAGCCACAACTGCAGTTAGAATTCAGGTCTTCCTGGCCACTAGGAAAGCACAGTCAGAGCTCCAACCATCTGTTTGAGGGTTAGGCAACCTCAATTTCTGCCAGCTCCTAAACTTTAAAGAAAATAGGGTTGTTCTTTTTTTCTTCCCCTAAACCTCCTCTTGAGCCTAGATTTAAGTGCCTAACTCTAACATTTCCAAAATGCCTCAGTGATTTGGGAGCGCAAGTCACAGTAATTTCATGCAGACACTGTGGTGAAGGCTGACCACTGACCAACTCCTAGTATGGAAAAATTTTGTCCACCATCATTCTGAAAGATGGTAAGGAAAGGTCAAATCTCCAGAGAGCCTCAGTACGGCCTTTGAAAAACA